GCAAAAAGAAAAAAGCTGGAAGTGGCGCTGTGGCTCAAGTGGTAGAGCACTAGCCTTGAGCTGAAGAGCTTAGGGACAGTGCTCAAGCCCAGAGTACAGGCCCCATGACCAGACCCAAAAAAAAAAAAAAAAGAAATGAATGCAAAACAGAGTGCCGTAGCACACACCTACAAAACCAGCACTTGGGAAGATAGGAGGAACAGAAGTTTGAGGTCAGTGTGGCCTTATCTTAGTGAGATTTCATCTCAAAACTAAATTTTTTTAAAAAGGATGGGATTATATCTTACTGGTAGATCACCTGCCTAGCACAATGATGCAGTAGGTTCAATCCCACTACCACAAAATAATAATATAAAAAATATATAGAGGGGCTGGGAAGGTGGCTCAGCAGTAGAGTGCTTGCCTTGCATGCACGAGGCCCTGGGTTCGATTCCTCAGCACCACATAAGCAGAAAAAAGCCAGAAGAGACACCGTGGCTCAAGTGGTAGAGCACTAGTCTTGAGCTGAAGAGCTGAGGGACAGCGTCCAGGCCCAGAGTTCAGGCCCCATGAGAGAGGTCTAAAAATCATTTTCAGAGGAAACCAGGAGTCAATAAAGATAAGCAGAGAATGAGCTGAGGAAAAGTGCCCATATCACCTTTAGGAAAAAGGGGAATTTTTTCTTCTTCTTCCATGATTAAAAAAAAGGAAGGGCTATTCTTGAGATTGATAGGTATGATGGACCTTGATTAAATTTATAGTTAGGTGTTTTCTCAATTCTCTGTTCATAAAAATATAATTATTCATTTAACCTAGTTATTCCTTTTTTTCAGTTTTGTTTGCTTGTTTTTTATTTTGTTTTGTGCTGGAAGTGGGGGATGAACTCAGGGCCTGGCCACTGACCTTTAGCTTTTTCAATCAAATCTGTTGTTCTATCACTTGAGCCACAGTTCTACTTCTGGGGTGTGTGTGTGTGTGTGTGTAACAGTTCTACTTCTGGGGTGTGTGTGTGTGTGTGTGTGTAACAGTTCTACTTCTGGGGTGTGTGTGTGTGTGTGTGTGTGTGTTTAATTGGAGATAAGAATCTTAAGGACTTTCTTATCTCAGCTAGCTTCAAACCACGATGCTGAGATCAGCTTCCTGAGCTTCCTGAGTAGCTAGGATTACAGGTGTGCACCAACACCTGCGTTGTTTTGGGGTTTTGAGACCAGTATCTTAATATGTAGCTTAGGCTGGCTTGAAACTCTGCCTACACCTGTGCTACCACATCCAGTTTAATTACTCTTTGTTTACCAAAAGGTTATTACTATTTAGGCAGCAAATCTAAGTCAACAGGCATGTAGCATTGCATTTCCAGAACTTAATAAAAACATATGTAATATTGCAAAAACACAACTTTATTTTTCAGGAAATGAAAGCATCTCAATAAAACTACAAAATAACTAATCACACCTCATTTATCTCTACCCAGACATTTAAAACTCTTAAAGTAATATTCTTACCTGAAGCATAAAAGTCAGGATCAAAGTATGTCATAAATAGAAAATTGAATACAACCAGCAGAAAGCCAGAAAACGTTATTAGATTCGGAGCCAGCCAAGTAGGGAATACCTGGACAATAAACACCAGGACATACAAATTAGTCAAAAGAAGCTATCACTTTGGAAGACTATATGCAGTAATTACATGTATTAAATGTGAATTCCAATCTCCAATAGACAGAAATGAGCAGTTCTTTCTTCTTTCTACCCTCTATATTTTAAATAATTGTATAATCTACAAATCTTAATAATCTTTTTTTTCTTTTTTTGGGGGTCCGGTCGTGGGGCGTGAACTCTGGGCTTGGGCGCTGTCCCTCAGCTCTTCAGCTCGAGGCTAGTGCTCTACCACTTGAGCCACAGCACCACTTCCAGCTTTTTTTTTCTTTTTGCTTATGTGGTGCTGAGTTGTCGAACCCAGGGCCTCAGGCATGCAAGGCAAGTGCTCTACCACTGAGCCATCTTCCCAGCCCCTTAATAATCTTAACAGGAAAGTATTTAGAAAGTCTTAAAAATGATAACTTGGCTGGGAAGGTGGCTCAGTGGTAGAGTGCTTGTCCTGCATGCATGAGGCCCTGGGTTCGATTCCTCAGCACCACATAAGAAGAAAAGCTGAAAAGTGGCACTGTGGCTCAAAGTGGGAGAGCGCTAGCCTCGAGCTGAAGAGCTGGGGGACAGTGCCCAGGCCCATAGTTCAGGCCCCACAACCGACGGGAAAAAAAAAAAAAAAGATAAGTTGAAGTGTCTAAATTTATAGATTGCAAAAAGAGAAACCAAAAAGGTAGCTGGGTGCTGGTGGCTCATGCCTGTAATCCTAAGTACTCAGGAGGCTGAAATCTGAGGTTCGCAGTTCATAGCCAGCCCAGGCAAGAAAGGCAGTGAGACTCTTATATCCAATTAACCACCAGAGAACCAGAAGTGGTGGTGTGGCTCAAAGTGGTAGTGCACTAACTTTAAGCAAAAAGAGCTCAGGGGACAGTGCCCAGGCCCCCAGTACAAGCCCACAACCAACAATAACAACAACAACAAAACCCAAAATAGCATATGGTGACTAAGGGAAGGGAGAAAAGGGAGGCATCTCTGGATACCTTATTAAGCTAAGAGTTGAAGCCTACCACTCCACTAAATAGGTTAAAGTACTTCAGACCTACTAAAACAAAACACACGCGACTTGACTGGGGCTGTGGATGTGGAGAGACCATGCCTAGGAAGTATGACACCCTGAGCCAAACCTCAGTTCCACCATTTAAGGAAAAAAAATAAAAATAAATAAGCATATCTATTAATTATCTTACCTTTACAATAGTATTCCAAAATGGATGCATGACATACAAAGAGAGTGGGTTGGTATCCACAGCACTGTACTGTTAAGAAAGTAAAACATTCTGAGTTAATGTCAGCATATTAGCAAATATAATTTCTCAAATGAAAATAATAGTACAAAAATAACCTGGAGGCTGAATGCCAATGGCTCACACCTATAATCCTAGCAACTCAGGAGACTAAGAGCTGAGGACAGCAATTCAAAGCCAGCCCAGGTAACAAAGTGCAAGAGAGTTTTACCTCTAATTAATAACCAAAAAGCCAGAAGTGGAGCTATAGCTGAAGTGGTAGAGTGCTAGCCTTGAGCCCTCCCCCTCACCCCAAAAAAAAGGCTCAGGCTCTGAATTCAAGCCCCAGGAGGGGCAGAAGAAAAAAGAAAAAAAGTAAAAAGAAAAGAAAAGAAAACTGGAGAATATATCTATTTGTAGGATATCCTCATCTGAAACAAGACTACAATAGCAAACACTGTTAGACACAGTTATTATTTTTATAGCAAAGGGCAAGGTCACAGGAAGGCAAAAAGTCACTCTGAAATCATGGAGTTAATCAAACAATGGTCATTTCATTCACACATACCCAACCAGAATCCAAATAACCAAGAGAATCATTGACTCATCCTTCCCTCAAAACCAACTTTTATAATATTTCAGTGTCTTAGTAAATAAACTTATATTGATAGCTGGGGATAAAAATAAGTAGGAGAGTATTACTTAGGGTGTACAAGGCCCTGGGTAAACCCCCAGCACCTCAAAAGAAGGAATTTAATAATCATTTTCATATTTTCAGTTATTATACAGAACCAGTAAAATGCACACTATACATAATCACACACTGACCACACGCCTTCTTCACTCCTTTCATCACGCTTCAACTTACACCAGTCCCATTGTTCTCCCCCTTGACACCATTACAGATACACTACTATCTGGACAATTGTGGGCAGCCTCTCTGTCCTAGCTTACTTGTCTGTGACATGAGTGAGAGCCCTGCCTTAAAGGACTGGCACAGGATTAGATTAAGTAATAAGTGAAACTATCTACAACAGTACCAGACACACAGTACCTGCAATGTAAGAATTATATAATGTGCTTTGGGCACCAAAGGAATGACATATCATCTTATTGCAGGAAATGGAGTGCATACATGAACAGTGGAAGACAAAACAGGTTAATTGTGTGGCAATGGAGTTTGTACCCCAATTACCAAGCTATTCATGCAAGAAAGAGTTCAAAGAAAATTTATATATAATATGTAATACACACACACACACACGTACCTGGAATATGGGAAGCACTCCCACTAGATATGGAGAAGAATAAAACTTTCCTATATGACAATTCTTACCCTGGAGGAGTTCACATTATTTTATCTGGGTCATTACCTAATTTAGCTATCTAACATTTAAATGACACTAGACTAGTAAAAGTTTTAGTTACATTTTATGTTGATGTCTACTATATGTGTAAAATAAGTAACAAGTATTTTAAATTATAATTAAAAATCAACCTTCTGTAACCCCTCTGTATGGTATTTTCACAAAAAAAAAAGTTATGTTAGGTGAAATGAACTCCCCCCCCAGTAAAAGATCAACCTTCTTCCTAAATGTTTTATGAGTATGTAGGAAATGCTTCCAGTGTTCCAAGACTTAAAAAGTGCTCTACAGTTCATAAGTGTCACCACACTGGAAGCTCTGAAGAATGAAGGAGTCTAAATAATCACCCAAATTTAAGTCCACAGACCATGGGTCCTGGGACCTACAAGAACCTCTTCATCTGCCAACAACAATTGTGGGAGGGTCCTGCCTCCTCCACTTCACAAAAATCTGCATGCAGAACCATGTGATCAAGACAAGAGTCAAGACAAACTGGAAAACTTCCTATTTCAAGTTTATCATGTATTGCAAAGCACAAAAGCTGTAAAAGGTTCAAATCAGAATATAAAGGTTTAAGGTATCACATACATACCTAATACAGGACACAAAATACAATGTTCTTAATTCAAATGTTCACTGAATAAGTCTCATTCAGCAGCTTTTCATCATTTTAATTCATATCTAAAACAAAATCCTTTAAGGGATGGTAGTTCCGGGAGACAAAGCTCTTTTCAAACTCTGATGCTTTAGCCATAAATCTCTCCTTTGGGGAGACCAGAATAAATAAGAACATGTAGAACTAAATACAGGGTCAGTTTATCCTCCAGGGCTTCGGTTATTAGACATTGGGTAATAGCTGATGAGCTCAAGTATGAAAAGAAAGATTAATATGGGATTACAAGGAACAAACAATAAGCATAAAAAATACTCAGTGTTCTAGCCTTACACACCTGAGAAAAGTCTCAGGGTCACGTATCACCTAATACAAAGAAACTGAGAACAGTCTTGTGGGTCAACAAGAAGAAAAATACCCAAATACAAACTTTTAAAGATGCTAAACTAGATGTAGGATATTTATTAATGCTTGTCAAACACACTTTTATTTTACATTGGAATGATTTTTTTGGGGGGTGGGGGGGAGGCACAAACCAAAACACTGAATCTGGTAACTAATCCATTTACACTCAGCTTGACTTTCTTGGTTTCTCCAATCTATAAGATCCTGGGAAAATGCTGGAGAACCACAGACTTAGAGACAATCACTGCAAAGCAAAGATAATCCCAAACCATAAGAGTGCTCAGAGGATGTCTAACCTTATACTCAATTGTATATCTGACCCACATCTAGAATAGTAAGAGTCATTTGTTCTCTATAAATGCTTTTGATTCTCAAATTAAAACCATTCCTTCCAGAAGCAGCCCAATTCAATGTTAAAACCATCTTTCTTTCCTTTCCTTTTCTTTTCCTTCCCCTCCCTCCCTCTCTCTCTGTCTCTCTTTGTCTGTCTGTCTCTTTTCTTTCATGGTCAAGGGGCTTGAACTCAGGGCTTGGGCACTGGGTCTGAACAAGTTTGCTCAAGGCTAGCACTTTACCACTTAAGAGCTACAATTTCGGGGAGGGGGGTTGTTTTTGTTTTTGGTCAGTCATGGGTCTTGAACTTTGGGCCTTGGCACTGTTCCTGAGCTCTTCAGCTCAAGGCAAATGCTCTACCAGTTGAGCCACAGGGCCATTTTTGGTTTTCTGGTGGTTAGTTGGAGATAAGAGTCTTGTGCATTTCCTTGCTTTGGCTGGCTTTGAACTGACTGTGATCCTTAGATCTCAGCCTCCTGAGTAGCTAGATTACAGGCGTGAGCCACCAACAGCCAGCTGAGTCACAGCTTTTCTTCTGATTTTCTGGTGGTTAATTGGAGATAAGTGTATCGTGAACTTTCCTGCCGGGGCTGGCTTTAAACTGTAATCCTCAGGTCTCAGCCTCCTGAGTAGATAGGATTACAGGTGTGAGCCACTCACACCTGGTTTAAAACCATTTTTCTATGCACTAACAAATCCTCCCAACCCTGTACATTTTATCCTGAATTTTCTTTTTTTTCCTCAAAGTTAAGCAGAAAAGGGTCTCATTTTTTCTTCTAAATAACAGCCCTCCAAATAACCAGATCCTGTTCTCCCTGTCTGTCACACCTACATCTTTCCTTTATTTGTCCCCACGTCCCCTTTTGCTGCTCCTCTTTTGCCACAGACTCAGTCTCTTGTCATGTAGGTCTACTTCAGTAGACCCGCTGTTGGCCAGCTTATTCTGCAAAGAGTCTAATAGTAAACATTTAAGCTGTTGGAAGCCAAAAAAAAAAACTCAACAAATACGCAACACTGCCACTGAAACAGGGAAGCAGTCACAGATCTTCTTCCAATGAACCTTTATTCAAAGTTGGGGGCTTTAGTTTGACAACTGTTGTTACAGACAATGTAATTTGTTGTTAATCCCGTCCAGAAACTGAATCAAGGCAAAAAGAATGTTTCAAGTGTTTCATGAAAAGAACCCACATGACTGTAGCCTCAACAACAAATGCTGCTCAAGAAACTACTGATTTCCTATGGCAAGAAGACCACACTGCAGGCTTACAGCACCATTACTGCCACTGGACACCTCCGCTCTGGCCTTTGCTCTACAGATGGTGAAGCCATCCTTCTCCACTTCCCTTGGATCCCGACTCAATTATTCAAGGAAATAGATATGTCCTCATAATTCTCAGCTTGTAAATCTCAGCACTTTCATAAGGCCTTCCCCCACGTCTCCATAAAAATGCTCCTCAGCTGGAACTTCTACACTTTTCCCTCAAGATTGCTATTATGATATTTAATCTTTTTTTTTTTTTTGTCGGTCATGGGGCTTGAACTCTGGGCCTGGGCGCTGTCCCTCAGCTCTTCAGCTCAAGGCGAGCGCTCTACCACTTGAGCTACAGCTCCACTTCCGGTTTTCTGGTGGTTTATTGGAGATAGGAGTCGCATGGTCTCTCCTGCCCGGGCTGGCTTTGAACCTTGATCCTCAGATCTCAGCCTCCTGAGTAGCTAGGATTACAGGCGTGAGCCACCAGCGCCCAGCTAATCATTTTGATCTGGATATAGAATTCTCTGATGGAAATTATACATATCTTACAAAGCAAAGATTTTTATAAAGTACAGTGCAATCCAGAATTACCTTAAATATCATGTTGCCAAATATCAGAAATTTTTAAATGTCCCCCCTTTTTGCCTTAAACTTAAGTCCACATCAACAAATAAAACAGAAAGCTGGGTGCTGATGGCTCACACCTGTGATCCTAGCTACTGGGGAGGCTGAGCTCTGAGGATTGTAGTAAGAGAGAAATAGAGAGGAGAGAAGAGAAAGGGGAAAAGAGAGAAATAGAGAAAAAGGGGAAAAAGAAAAAGAGCAGAATTCATTCTTCTTTCACTCATCAAGTTGTCAAGTACATGTGACTGAATGCTTATGATTCTGCCAGACTGTGCTGACTCACTGCAAAGAGAGTGGCGAAAACCAAGGTGTGTCTTGAGTTCAAGTCTATAGTCTAGTGTGAGGTAGACAGATATTAATAATCACAAGCTGAGGTGTTTTTGTTGTTGTTGTTTTGGCTGGTCCTGGGGGCTTGAACTCAGGGCCTGGGCACCATCCCTGA